AGTTTATGAAATCAGACAAAGACTCACAGAATAAACTCTCTCCGTCCCACTGCTCAGCGATCGCCTACATGCTCCAGATGTCAGACGAAGCTCTAGAGGAGCTGGACCTCAAGAAATACAACACATCAGATGAGGGCAGAAGGAGACTGGTACCGGCTGTGATGAACTGCAGAAAAGCAAAGTAAAGAGTCAAATATCAATTTGCTTCAAGTTAATTGCTCATCAAGGCTACATTTATTTGATCAAAAATTCAGAATTTTTTTTTTTTTTAACAATTTACATTTTTTCAGTTTTCCAATTTAATATAATTAAAAAATATCAATTTATAAATATAAATTTAAAATACAATTCCTGTGATGCAAAGCTGAATTTTTAGCAGCCATAACTCCAGTCTTTATTGTCACATGATCCTTCAGAAATCATACTAATATGTTGATTTATCATTTTTGATTGACATATTTTTTTTGGAACCAGTGATACTTTTTTCAGGATTTTTTGATGAATACAATTTATAAGCATTTAATAAAAGCATTTATTCAAAATAATTCAATTTCTTTTCTAACAATAAAAGTCTTTACCATCACTTTTTATCAATTTAACATATCCTTGCTAAATAAAAGTATTAATTTATTTTAGAAAATTTACTGACCCCAATCTTTTGAACAGTAGTGTATTTGTTACAAATGATTTCCATTTTAAATATATGTATATGTGTGTATATATATATATATATATATATATCATTGACTATTAACATCCTGTTGCAAATGTCCATTACATAAACTGAAACAGTGTTTAACTCTCTTTCAGTCTTGCCTGCTGTAATCTCACAGATCAGTGCTGTGAAATCGTGGTGTCAGCTCTACAATCATTAAACTCGCCCCTCAGAGAGCTGGATCTGAGTAACAATGACCTGCAGGACGCTGGTGTGAAGCTCATTTGTGCTGGTCTGAAGAGTCCAAACTGTCGGCTGGAGATACTGAGGTAAGAGTAATACCTGGAGTACGCTTTGTCGTTATGCCTGCCATTTTGCCTGTGTGCACTGCTTTGTGATATTTCACTTGACCAGCAGAGAACAGCACTGAGTTGTGTTATCCTAATACTCACAAATAACTTCTGAACTTCTTCCATTTGTTTTATGGCCATTTTCTATCTTCTTTGAGTACTTTTAAAAAATAGCAGCCCAGCTGTGACTGTTGATACCTACTGGACCCACCGCTAAGTGCATTTGTGTTCAGACAGGCGAATGTGCGTAAGGCTAGATAATGTAGGCTGCATAGTCTGTTTACATCATGCATACTGTGCGTGAGACGTAACAGTAAACTGACATCTCTGAAACATACTTTTGGCTTAGAGTTGGGCTCTTTTGTTTTTAGTAAGTTCAAGTTCCGATAAATGATCATCATAACATTCAATATTCTAATGCATTAATTCATTTGTGCAACCTGAAATCCCAATCTCACTTTTAATTATTCTTCATCTAGGTTATCTGGTTGTATGGTGACAGAGGAAGGCTGTTGTAATCTGGCTTCAGCTCTCAAGTCAGACACTTCACACCTGAGAGAGCTGGATCTGAGCTACAATCACCAAGGAGAAGATGGAGTTGAGATGTTTTCTGCTTTGTTAGAAAATCCAGACTGCAAACTGGAGAAACTCAAGTATGTTGGTTTTATGACACATTTTTTGCGAGAAAAAAAATGTGTGCAAATAGTTAATTTTGCTATCTCTACCTGATAAATGTTGATCCAGCTCTTTGTTTTGATTCTGATTCTGATTTTTGTCTGATTCTGATACCTAATGATCCAGCTCTTTGTTTTTTAAAAACCAGGTGTGACAAAAAGCAACTGAGTCTGTAAAAACACTTTTTTGTTTGTGTTTTATAGTTCAGACCATTTTGGAGATTGCAGGGTCAAACCAGGACTACAAAAATGTAGGTTCTTTCTCTTTCACATGTACTCACACACATTTAACATATATTAGTATGATCTATGTCAGGGGTTTTCAAAGTGTGGAGAGCGTGCTCCTCTCCACCTGCATGCTGACAACAAACACCTGAAGCACATGCACCAAACCCTTCTTTCATTTCTCCTACTTACTCCATTGTGAAAGAACGGTCAAATACACACACTTATGTGTCGAAATACCCATCTTGGTGAGCATTCGCATAAATGTAGCTGGTTATGTCTTAAGTTAATGTAAACAGTAGGGAAAAAAAATTGGATGTTTGTCAATATATTGGATCTGTGCATTAGGTCTTAAAGTGACAGCAGCCTCATATACCCACTGTTGCCTATTCTTAATGTTAATCAAACAACAAAAGAAAAAGAGAAAATCTCTGCCCTTGTCTGAATAGCCTTTGTAGCATATCTTTTTTGTACAGTGAGGATTATACAGTTTAATCGCGTATAATACATTTCTGCCTCATACAGTGATCAAGATTTCCATCGGGTTGCAATCGTAAGTTAATTCAGACACTCGCTGTTGCCTGAAAGTGAGTTTTGCCATTAAAATTGTTTTAAATGTATTAAATGATGCTAGCTGGTAGCTTGAAATGAAAACATGGGAAATGAGAAGTGGTGCCGACTGTCTCCTAACTATGATAAACTCTGCCTCTGACAACTCTTCTATCCCCAGTTGGCCCGCTTTGGCCCAAGGTATTCGGCGGGCCAAAAAATCCTTGGCCGTTTGCCCCGAAGAAGCCTTGACGAGGCACGATCAAGCCCCAGAAGTAACAGTAGAAATGCGACTGGCCCTGGCACGCACTAGCATGCTCGCTTTTGGCCCGACAGTGGAAAAGCGGCTGTTTTGACATCGATGAGACATCGCCCTCAATGTTTATGGTGGTTATGACCCTGTATCTTTTGTTCTAATTTCTCTTGTATTTAGATGCCTGTGATCTTACGCTGGATCCAAACACTGCATACGCTCATCTCGCTCTGTCTGAGGGGAACAGAAAGGCAACACATGTGGAAGAAGAGCGGCCATATCCTGATCATCCAGACAGATTTGAGCACCAGGAGCAGGTTCTGTGTAGAGAAACTCTGTCTGAACGCTGTTACTGGGAGGTTGAATGGAGTGGGGGGGCTTATGCTGCAGTGACATATAAAGAAAATAAAGGAAAAAAAAGAGGGAAGGACTGTAGATTTGGGTGGAATGATAAGTCCTGGAGTCTTTTCTGTACCCCTGATGGATATAGCGCCTGGCACGATAACATAAAAACAGATGCCAATTTCCCGTCAAAACCCTCAAACAGAGTAGCAGTGTATCTGGACAGGCTGGCCGGCACTGTGTCCTTTTACGACGTTTCTGACACACATACTCTCGCACACATATATACATTTAAAACCAAGTTCACTGAACCACTCTATGCTGGGTTTGCAGTTTATGGTTCAGTGTTTCTATCAGCGTGAACAGCCTCCTATCATTACCAACTAATTTAGTAATTGCAACTTAATGTAACTGTAGCAACAGTTTATTTTCTTGTATGTTCAGATTTGTATGTTCAGATTATGAGAGCAGTTAATCTAGATGACTGTTTGTCAGTGGGCAAAAAATGGCTATGCTTTAAAATTGTTTATTGTATGTATATATGTATATGTGTGTGTATTTGTATATATATGATATGTAATGAGCCAGAGTTAGGTTTTCCCCAAATATCAGCGTGATATCTAAATGAGGGCATCACATGAAATATGGTGGAATACATCCCACCTTCTAAATAAAAGAGCAAATCATGAATTGAAGTCACTGGCTGCATCCGAAATCGCATACTCTCTTGAGTAGGTACACACGACAGCAAAAAGAGTAGGAATGTGTGTGTAGTATCAATGTAATCTGGACCTACTACATTTGCCATGTTGTCATTGTCACATGACATTTTCTCCCGTGGCCTCATGGGATAGTAAAGCGTCCATTGTATGCACACTTCAGAATCACGTCGGAAGTAGAAGTGTGATCTGGGTTGTTTTTGCCTACATACTTCTTTTGTCACATACTGTTTTTCGTCTACTATACAGTAGGGGAGTATGCAAATACAGATGCAGCCACTGACTAGAAACTCCTGTTGCCATAGAAACAGTCAGTGTCCTGAGATGCCCGTTTAGGACTACACTTGCACATTGGCTAGACCATCCCGAAATATAAGCTTTTTTTTTTAAATGATATTTGAGCACAAGAAACAATTTATGGGACAGTTATTTTCAGATTTTGATGCTGAAGTATGTTATTTAAATTTGACATTATTTAAAAACATTTAAAATATTTTATTAGGTTACTGTCCTTATTCACTTTTGGCTTCATTAATTTGTGCACAGTAAAAGCTCAAATTTGTTTCCATTCAATGTCTTCTGGGATTGAATACTTTTTAAAAGCATTAACATGTTCTTTGCTTGATGTAATAATACTTGTTGAAATTGTTTCTGGTCAGATTGAGGCATAGGTGTTACATATGTTCAATAAACTCATTTTCAAACATCACTTTGTCTTCTGCCTGCTGCATCTGCCTTTGGGCTGAAATATTGTTTTGAAGGAACCGTTTTTAAAAAGGAGCCAGGTGTCAGATTCTTCAATGACTCTGCATTGTTTCACAGTGATGCAAATGTGATATGGATTATTTCACAATACCTTCAACCACCACTAGAGAGAAGCATTTACTTGTGTTAGTGCTTCTGTTAATGTTTATATCTAGTTTGTAGTCGGATTAGCCTTTAGGGCCCCTGGTGACAGAGATTTCAATGGCATGTGCCCCTGAATATACACAATTACACAGACTATTAAAAAACGACTTTCATACACCCCGATTTCTTTTTAAGAATGTGAAAATGTTATGCAGATTTTTCATCTCAGTGCTAGAAACAGTTTAAAGCCTGAAAACGGCTAGGAACTAATACAAAAGGATTCAGTACAGTGAAGCCACACATGATGACTAGTGTTTTTTCCTCCACAAGCTTTTGAAATCTTTGTCCTCATTGCCCTTTCTGCTGTGCTCACTCTCTCACATTCGTTCTCGCATTGCATTGCCAATCCATTTCTGTAATTTCCCCCTCCACTCCCCGAGAACCCATCCCAGCCCGGACTGGAAGGTAATCGATTCATGCTGTCAGTAAAAAGCTCTGCGTCAGAGTCTTGTCGCCTGCTATAAAAAGCCCTGCCAGTGCCGCTGCATCCTCGCAGACCTCTCTCCACAGCAGCAGCAGCAGCACTACGGAAACCGTCTCTGCTCTCTTCTCTCTTCAACAAACATGAGCTCCTTGAGTTACAACCCCTATCTGCCATCTGTGCAGCGGAGGAGGGTGGTGGTACACAGCGGGATGCCCTTCAGCGGAGGAAGCAGTCGCTCTCGCTCCGTCTATTCGACCTATTCATCCCCGTCCCGTGCCTCGGTTCTGTCCTCCTCAGCAGGTCTGCAGCTTTCTGCTGCATCACCAGATCTGGACCTGAGCCAGGCCTCTCAGCTGAGCTCAGAGTTCAAAACAGTGCGGACGCAGGAGAGGGTTCAACTTCAGGACCTTAATGACCGCTTTGTTGGCTTCATTGAGCGCGTGCATGGCCTGGAGCTCCAGAACCGTGCCCTGGAGGCAGAGCTGCTCTTGTTGCGCCAGAGACACTGCGAACCCTCCCGTCTCAGGGGGCTGTACGAGCAAGAGGCGAGGGAACTCCGTGCGGCCGTAGACGAGGCCCGTAGGGAGCGCCAAGTGGCTCAAGAAAGGCGGGACCGACTGGAAGAGGCGCTAAAGGCCTTGCAGGGTCGCTACGAAGAAGAAGTCCTGGCCCGTGAGGAAGCCGAAAGACGGCTGGTGGATGCCAGGAAGGGGGCGGACGATGCAGCATTGGCCCGCTCTGAGCTCGAAAAAAGGGCTGACAATCTTCTGGATGAGCTGGCCTTCCTCAAGAGGCTCCACGAAAGTGAAATCGCCGAGCTCCAAGCCCAGGTGCAATACAGCGCCCAGGTGTCCGTGGAGATGGAAGTGGCCAAACCGGACCTCTCGGTAGCTCTCCGAGATATCCGAGGTCAGTATGAGCGCCTGGCTCAGCAGAACATCCAGGCTGCGGAGGAGTGGTTCCGTGGGAAGGTGAGCACCATGGCGGGTGACACGGTCAAACACACGGAGAACATCCGCACTGCTAAAGACGAGGCTGGGGAGTATCGTCGCCTCCTGAAAGCTCGAGACCTGGAGATCGAAGCATGCCAGGGCTTGAACCAAGCTCTGGAGCGACAATTGCAAGAGGTCGAGGAGAAACAGAGCGCAGAGATCGCCGCCCTACAGGTCAGAATGATAACTACATGTACAATATATGCATTTGGCAGATCCAAAGTGACTTACATTGCATTCATAGTACACATTTTATCAGTTCTTGATTTTCACTGAACCCATGATCTTGGCATTGTTAGGGCCATGTTCCACTGTTTCAGCTACAGGAAAGCTAAATACTGCAATTCTGCTCTATAAAAAGCTAAACTTTGGTCTTTAAATACTTTTTTGCCCGGACAGGACACCATCAGTGACTTGGAGAATGAGCTAAGGACCATGAAGAGTGAAATGGCCCATTACCTCAAAGAATATCAGGACCTTCTCAATGTGAAAATGGCCTTGGACATTGAGATTGCTGCTTACAGGTTAGTAACATCAACAGTTTTGTAGTAAAACCTTTGTTGCAATTGACATGTGTAATCTATATAACCAAGGCCGTAAAATTGGTCAATCAATATGTTTTTTTACATTGATAACATTTGATCTCCCCCAAACTTAAATATATCTTGAATATAAGTGTGTTTACATTCCATCAGGAAGCTTCTAGAAGGAGAAGAAACACGCTTCAACGTGGGCGGTATTGGCGGGATCTCCAGTGTGTTTTCTCCCTCCATCGCCGCCACTCCTTCTTTTGGCCGTCCCGTGTTCTCAGTGCAGGCCAGCCTGACCTCTGGCGCCCCCTATCTTCTGGGAACCAGACTGATGAGCTACTCTGCCACACCAGATGAAATCATTGAAGCCAGCAAGGCACAGGAGGCCGGGGCAAGTCCAGAGAAAGAAGAAGAGGAAGAGGAGGAGGAGGTAGAGGAGGAAGAGGGTGAGAAGGAGGAGGAAGAAGAAGAGGGTGAGAAGGAGGAGGAGGAGGAAGAAGAAAAAGAAGAGGGTGAGGATCATTTGTTTTTTTATACATTGTATATAATTTATTTTAATTTAATTTAAATCACTGTTGATTTATTATTGTATAGTGGTGCATATAAATAAAAAAAGATTTAATTTTAAATGATTTTATTTTTCATATTACATTTTTCTCTTCATTTAGTGAGAAAAGTTGATTATAACTAGATTTTGAATGTATTTATCATATATAATCAAAATGCTAAATATAATTTTTGTAACACCCAGTCCTTTTTCAGTGCTGACATTTGTACCCTATTGTCTCTTTTACAGGTGAAGAAGGAGGTGAAGAGGGAGGAGAGGAAGAAGGTGAGGATAAAGGAGAACAGGAAGAGGAAGAAGGAAAAGAAGCAGGAAAAGAGGGAGAGGAAGGAGGAAAGGGTGAAGAATGTGAAGGTGAAGAAGAAGATGAGGATGAGAAGGATGACGCTGGAAAAGAAGAGGAGAAAAAGAAAGGAGGAGAGACAAAAGAGAGTAAAGATGAGAAAGCCAAGCCAAAAGAGAAGTAAACACACCGGACCAAAACCCCTGGTGCTATCTGGAGGTGATCAAACCTCGTGCATGTATCTCACACATGCAGACATCTCAACAACAACTTCACTGTGTCCTGCTGCTCGATTTCAGATTCAGTTCAAATTAAAAGCAAACTATATACGCAGATGAGAATAATAAATGCAACTATAGAGTTTGGCCAAAGCCAGAGTAGCCTATGCATGAAGACATGTCTAACGTTTGCGCTTGGCAGGGAAGCTGTAATTGCAGGTTGCTTGTGTTGTTTCGATTGCCTTTTTATTTATTGAAATGCAAATAATATTCTTTGAGCATTGTGTCTGTATGCCTTCAGCATTAATCACACTGTCAACTGCCTATGATAACACAAGTGTGCTTAGTATTCAAAATGCCTTAGACCAGATCCTCAAAGAAAGGCTCATTGCCTACCAATAAAAACTTGATAAACCTCCTTAACTTGGTGTGTTGCTCTGTTGTTGTTTTTCTGCCTATGCCAACTGTGCAGTGTACAATGTATGCTATGGTATTATGTGACATAGAACAAATTAAGTTATGTGGCATGCATAATTCATCGAGTGGCATCTAGTTTTTACTTTGCGGGCCTATTTGATTAAAGGAATCAGTCACCAAAACTTAAAAATTTGCTAAAATATACTCAACCTCAGGCTGTCCAAGATGTAGATGAGTTTGTTTCTTCATCTGAATAGATTTGGAGATATTTAGCATTACATTACTTGCTCAGCAATGGATCCTCTGCAGTGAATGGGTGCAGTCAGAATGAGAGTCCAAACAGCTGATAAAAACATTACAATAATCCACAAGTAATCTACACGACCATCAATTAAAATCTTGTGAAATGAAAAACTGAGTGTTTGTAAGAAACAAATCAGTCATTAAGGCGTTTTTACCTTCTAGCCCTAATATTACTTTCTCTAGTGAAAAAGTCATCTTGTTTGAATCAGGAGAGAAATCTGCACAGATCAAACACAGTTTACAAGCCAAAACAGTCTATGTATAAACAAATATGTGGGTGGATTTTGATGTGAGAGGACAACAGGGGATGGACTTTTCACTGGAAGAAGGAATATTATCGATTTTGGACTGGTATTTTGGCCTGAAGCAAAGGTTTTAAATTAAAACACCATAATAATGGATTTGTTTCTTACAAACACTCAGTTTTTCACTTCACAAGATGTTAACTGATGGACTGGAGTGCTGTGGATTACTTGTGGATTATTGTGATGTTTTTATGCGCTGCTTGGACTCTCATTCTGACGGCACCCATTCACTGCAGAGGATCCATCGAAGAGCAAGTGATGTAATGCTACATTTCTCCAAATTTGCTCCGATGAAGAAACAAACTCATCTATATCTTTGATGGAAGAAAAGGCAAATTTTACATTTTAGGGTGAACTATTGCTTTAAATCCTGAAAAATTGCTTCCGGTTCATTTGTAATGAAGTTTGAGCACGATGCATTGTGGGATGCAGTGTCCCATGTAGTGTGCTCTGTTGTTTGCTGCACATTTTAGGTAATCCATATATTTAAGGCATACAGAAAATGTGCATACTGCACACAATATATATTGCATACTGCAGAGATAGTGCTATTCCAAGCACGGCCCCTGTTCTCAATCAGGTACACTACAACCCACTAATTGTGCTAGTATGCAGCCATCAACTCAAGTACAGCGCTGTGCATTGATTATTTATTCATGACAGCTGTAATCAATATAATGCATTGAATGCAATATAATTCAATGTGCACATTCAGCACTTGAACAGCACAGAGCAGAATCCACAGAAAGCACAGCTTTGGAGTCCCACATCCATGCACGTATGCACCAGGTGAGTGGTAAAAATCTGAGCTGTTAACTGAAAGTTGTAGGTTTGAACCCTATTAGAGTTCATCCATGAACTATAACCACTGTGCACTAAGTGTGTCAGCCAAACGGCCTGCCGCAGTCACCCAGTTGTGATCCCAAGCCGGACCCGGTGATCAGCACAAATCTGTATTGATGTAACGTTTGCATTGCAGAATTAGTGTTTTTAAGCATGCAAATCCAATTACTGCCCCCTCAGCGACAAATTCAGTTACCTGATGATCCAGAGCACTTGGCTCAAGCTCTAACAAGCCAGTGCAGCACATGTTCTCCATTATCCTAATTGAGAGCTACACAGTGTCACACTAATGGTGGGAGATAGAGACTGGTCTCGTTTGAGAAGAAAAATGTGATTAATGTCCATGTCATGATGAAACGTTTGTGAGATTAGTCATGCTTCACTTTTTCGGTCTAGCTGTCATTCTTTGCATTTGCCCATGTAGAAAAATGAAGGTTTTATTGCCAACTTTTAATCTTAGTTTACATGTAAAGGATTTTATCGTCTAATGGAAGGATAACCTTTTTAAAGGAAATTTGTAATCTTAATATTTTTATTATGCAGGAAGCATTTTATGAAAGCAGTAAGAGAAGCAACTTTGTGAATTGTGGGTTGCACTGCTGACTTTGTGACAAAATATAAATGTTTAGGTTTATGTGTGAACTTACTTTTTTTGTGATAATCTTTGTGCTATTTGGTTCTATTAAGAAACATTAATACTTTTATTCAGCGAGGATGCATTAAATTGGTCAAAAGAGACAGTAAATACATTTATAATGTTACAAATTTCAATTTCAAATAAATGCAGTTTTTAAACTTCCTTTTTATCAATAAATCTGGAAGAAAATGGCGAAAAAACATGGTCAATACAAAATATTAAGCAGCGCAACTGTTTTCCAGTGTTATTTTAGTATCATTGATATACTATTATAGTTTTTGTTCATATTTTTAATTAGATATTATTTGATATTTCCTGTTATCATTTTAATTTTAAAAGTTTTTGTATTGTTTTTTATTTTTGTCATTTTTATTAGTTTTTTTTTTTTTAAACAAATGTCTGTAGTTTTTATTAATTTTTATTTATTGGTTTTAGTTATTTTACTTCAAGCAAAAATAAGAAATGTTGCCTTTGATATTATTTTAGTTAAATGTATTTGATTTCAAGTCACGGACATGATTTAGAATTTTAAGTTAACTCTAACAACCCTGTTGTTTTCAACATTTACGAGAAATGTTTCTCGAGCAGCAAATCAGCATAAGAGAATGATTTCTGAAGGATCATGTGACACTGAAGACTGGAGTAATTCAGCTTTGAATCACAGGAATAAATTCTATTTTAAAAAGTTTTACATTGGAAACTTTTACTTTAAATTGTAATAATATTTCACCGTTTTCCCAGTATTTTTGATGAGCATAAGAGACTTCTGAGACATAAGAGACAAGCTTCTGAACAGCAGTGTACAGTAGAATAAATTCAAACGCACAGGAGTTTTGTAAGGTCTTGATGAGCTTTTATTGATTGAGGTGGTATTGCAAAGAGCAGCACCTTTAGCTTTCACAGTATCATTGCTAACAGCTGTTGTGTTTCATGTTAACAAACCGAGTCTTATCATTGAGTCAGTGCATTATGTCTTAAGGCAAGAAGTATACTAGAAAGACATCATATCATTTGAAATAATGAAATGGAGTTACAGCTCAAAGTACGCCTGCGAGTGATGATATTATAGCACCATTATTGCCAAACAACTGCTGAAGAACTTCACATTCGTGTAAAATCTCTCACCATTCGAGTCATTAGCAGCATAAATGTACTTGCACATTAATTCAAACGCGTTATAGTTTCTGTTTCAGTCGCGACGGCTCAGCATGGCTCCAGACCACACATGCAAGTCAGTCATTACCATGCATGCAATTATTTTTGCTAGATGCATCAAACGCCATTTGCATCAAATAGAATTATTTCTAACAATTGATTATAACTAATTCCCTGTCAAAGTCATTTGCATCAGTCTTTTCCTTTGATTTCCTTCTTTGCCTGCAGACTGACTTTCTCCACCTTCTTGGTGACTTTCTTTTTCTCCTGAGGCTTTTCCTCGGACTTCTTCTCTTTCTCTGTGTCAGGTTTGCTCTCCTTGTCTCCATTGGTGATGGTTTCCACTGTTCTGGTTTGGACCTCTTCTTTCGGACTGGCTTCTTCCTTTTCTTCTTCTTTTTCTTCTACTGGTTTCTCCTTTTCTGCTGATTTCTTCTCGTCTTCTTCTGAATCGCTCTTGTTGTCACTCTTCTCTGAATCAGCCTTCGTTTCCTCTCCTCCAGACTCATCTTTCTTCTCTTCATCTCCTTCGGATTTGGTCTCCTCTTTTTCATCAGCTTCTTCTTTCTCCTCCTCATCATCTTTGGTTTCTTCTTTACTCTCTGCCTCTTGTTCTTCACCACCCTCCTCCTCCTCCTCCTCTTTCTTTTCTTCTTCGTCTTTCTCGCTGCCTTCTTTCTCTGCTGTTGGAGATGTATCACCACAGAGTTCTGTCTCCTCGATCACTTCCACTTGTTGTTCCTCTTCCTCCTCACCTTCTTCCGCTTCTTCCCCCTCTTCTGCTTCCTCTTCCTCCTCAGCAGCTTCTGTTTCTTCCTCTTCTCCTCCTTCTGCCTCTTCCTCTTCTTCAGCCTCAGGAGCAGCAGAACTCACTTTGGCCTCACTGGCGGTGACAATCTCTTCCTCCTTTTCCTCCTCTTCACCCTCACCAGCTTCTTCCGCCACTTCTTTAGCCACCTCTGCCAGATCATCGTCAAGGTCACTCTCTCCTTTGGTCTCCTGGATGATCTCCTCCACTATTTTATGTTTGACCTTAGAGGTTTTAGGCTGGCTGTAGGCAAACACGGGGGTTGAAATACGTCCGGGGACGGTACGGAAGCGCGTCTCCTCACCCTCCAGCATTTTCCTACATTTGAGAGAGAAAACTGTCATTAATCAAATCAACGACATGCAATAGAGCAAAAAGGAGCACAACTCTACCTGTAAGCTGCTATTTCAGCATCCAGTGCCATCTTGACATTAAGCAGATCTTGATATTCCCGAAGATGACGAGCCATTTCCCATTTTGTTCCTTTCAGATCATTTTCCAATTGGTGAATCATTTCCTGTTGAAGCAGATGCAATAAATCAATTCACAACTTCATTAGATTGCACTTAAATTTAAACAAGAAGTACTGACTAAAATTAATCTGTTTACTTTTATGAAACAACTTTTAATAAGCAACTAAATTAATTAAAGTTCTCATTTGGTTCTTTTAGTACGCAGTGCAGCACCCCACATCCGTTTGATGAACTTGTTTTATAAATCATACCAGGTCTGGCTCAAACTAAGTCAACAGGCCACTAAAATGAAATCCTGCAGCGCTAGTAAAAAGTATGCGCACTGCTCGTTGCGCATGATTACGCACGCAGTGCGCAAACCACATGTGAAATAATGGCTGCGGTTTAAAACCTAGTGTGCAGCATTTTTGGGCCATCCTATATTTTGCAACACAGCCATGTGCCTTTGAATCAGCAAATAAACACACACTAAGAACAAAACACTATCGTCATATCATGAAAACTACGTAAAAGCATTCGAAAGCCAGTATTTCAAGTGATTGCGCGACGCGCAACTGCACTATTTACACTTACATCATACTAGTGCAGAAGGATTTGTTTTGAGTTTTTTTCCAGATCTTATACAAATCATAAAACAACGAGAACACATTTGAATTCTTTCGAATTTAAATTAAATTAAATGTAATGATTATTTTGTATAAAACTATGCGTAAAATATATAATTGTGTATTTTATTTTTGTATTAATTTATTAATTAGTTAAAATTTTATACATTTAATACTTGAATCATGCAGCTGCCTTTCCAATGAATCTTTGGTGCCACGAAGAGCCTCCAGCTCAATGTTCTTGGCTTGGATCTGACGGCGGTAGTCTGCGATCTCGTCCCGTATAGACTTCATAGCATCCTTGTTGTGTTCCGAGGCGTCCGTCAGCATGGCATAGCGGCACTTGAACACCTCTTCGGCCTGCTGGAGGTTCTTGGAGGAGAGCCCGTCCAGTTGCGCGCGGATCTCCCGGAGCGCAGAGGTGATGTCGGTCTTCTGGAGGTCCCTCATCTCCACCACCGGTACCTGCGCGGCTTGAAGCTGAGCCAGAAGCTCGCTGATCTCCTCCCCGTGGTTCTGCCGCAAGAAGTCCATTTCGTTCACGAGCGCCTGGACCTTCCTTTCCAACTCCTGCTTCATCAGAAGCGAGTCGTCCTTGTTTTTCTTCATGCCCCGGATCGCAGCCTCCGTGTGCTCCCTGAGCCTGGCTTCATCTTCGTAGCGCTCCCGGAGCCGCTGCAGATCCTCATCCACGTGGTCCGTGTCGAGCAGCATCTGCGCCTTCTCTTTGTGGAGCTGTTCCAGGGCGCAGCGCAGGTCTTGGAGCTCGCGGTCGTACGCATCGCTTTGCAGGGACTGCGAAAAGTTCTGCTGCTTCAGCGCTTGGATCTCTGCCTCCAGCTGCTTGTTTTGCTCCTCGAGGAAGCGAACCTTGTCGATGTAGCTGGCGAAGCGGTCGTTGAGCCCCTGGAGCTGCTCCTTCTCGTTACTGCGCACCGGATCTCCACTGAGCGCCGCGCTCAGCTCGAAGCCTTCCGGAGACGCGAGCACGGCGGGGCTGTACGCAGCCCTGGATGCGGCCATATTTGTGGATCTTTTGAAAGACAGAGGACTGCTTTTAGCCCACGAGCGCATAGTGGAGGACGGCGCGCGGTTACTCCGTGTCTCCAGAGCCCTTCTGCGGGAGGCCACTATCATGTCCATGGTGAATGGTGCTTGTGAATTGGTGGTGTGGTGAGGGCATGGTTGCGTTCTGTCCTGTTGTATTTATACGCCGGCTTACTTTGTCAACGAGGCAAGAGCAGCACCCTCCCCTTGGAAAATCGACGAAGATGGAGGTCGTTGGGTTGCTCAGCAATTCACCTCAGTGCCCCAAAACAGTCGAAGTCTTTTAAAATTGTATAAAAGGTGAAGTCAAGAGGCTGTGACTTTCTGCATCATTAAAACCGACTCAGATGTATCACATGTTGTTTAGTGCATTTTTTCTCTCTTTTTAAATCACTTATTGCAGCTAGACTTTATATGCTCACTCTAGCTGCAATCTTTATCTACATGATTAAACGTGTATTGTGTGTGAAAAGTTTGGATAAATTAAGATATTTTTAATGTTTTTGTAAAAAAAAGTCTCTGCATTTATTCAATCAAAAATACAGTAATATTGTGAAATATTATTACTTTTTAAAAGAGCTGGGTTATATTTCAATATATTGTAAAATGTAATTTATTCCTGTGAAGCAAAGCTGAATTTTTAGCATCATTACTCCAGTCTTCAGTGTCACACGATGCTCAAAAAATTATTTTAACTTCTTTAAAAAAATAATCTATCTTTCTAGAAATGTTGTGATTTTATGTGAAAATAAAAGATTTAAAAATGCTGTTTTGAGTACAACATATTTATTTGCTCCATCAGTATTTAATAAAAAGAAATAAATATTTCCAATCTTTGTGTAGAACTTGCCTTTAGCCCTATTCTGAATTAGCTGTGTCCTTTGGATCAAACCACCAAGTTAAATGCCTTGCAAGTGCAACATTCTTTGCCAATAAATTTTGCTTCGGATTCATTTTAAATATCTTTGGTATTTTTATGCATGCAAACTTAAGCAAAGTCAGGTTTATTGCACATGCAGAGCAATGCAAATACACAAAATGCAGTTTCTACAGTGAGGTGAAGTGAGTGAACAAAATATAATAAATATTTATCACAGGCTGAACGACGCAGCGCTACATTACAAAAAAAAATTTCAATGAAAGCAAACAAACAAATAAATAAGAACATAAAGTTAATGACAAGATAATCATAATGCAAGGTTATTATTATTTTAATTAAAATTTGACCTTAAAATGTATGAAAATATATAGGGAATTTTTAGATGCTGTAACTGGTTATCGTTGTTAATAAACTTTTCTGTTTTTAGTTTAAATAATAATGGCTGACAAATAATTTTGTTATATGTAATTTTATTATATATGTAATAAGTTTATATCATTTTATTATATATTCTATTTAGTCTCTGAATTAATATGCACTCATGAAACTGCATGCATAATAACATTGACCTCTTTAACTGATCACATTATTAAAGATATTTTGCTTTACTATAGACACTGACGCTCTTGAATCGGTGCACATGCCAAGACAAAGCCATTCGGCTGTCAGCCTGAGCTGATGCACTGAGGATTTGGCCTTGTGTTGTCAGGAATTTTCAATAATGCAGCAAAGTACCAAGGTTATAAGAAGTTTTCTAATTCATTTTACAGATCACACGGGAGTCTTTTCACTCCAATGCATAATAAACGACCAAGAGCCTTCCTAAAATAATAATTACATCTTCCTCATAAGGAAGTTCCCAGAGGATCAAAACACATCTTGAATAGTAATGTAAATGTATATTAAAAGAAGTTTAGCAGGGTGCAAATCTCCAAGATGTTGTGATATTAATATATGATGATGATAATAAGACTAACCCAATAAAACAGTAGTTTACCATGCACTTAAATAATTTAACCAGATAATAGCCATGGCGAGTAAAATCAGCATACATACTGGCAGCAGTGAGGCATGATGGGAAATACAGTACACATATGTCAGAGGTTACGAGAAGCTTTCGCAAAGGAACTTGATCAATACAAATTATAGGTAATCAATAGAAAATATGAACCTGACAATCAAGAGAGGAAAGTGGCCTTTTGCTAATGACAGTGATGATCACATCCAGATTTAGTTCTTGGATGATGGAAGCATATATAACACACACACGCACACACACACACACACACACACACACACACACATGTCCTCATTTGTCACAAAAACGCGCGCGCGCACACACACACACACACACACACACACACTCTCTCTCTCTAGTATCTCATTCGCCTCATATGTCTGACTTATGTTGATTTCGCGATAGGGAATCGCCTGCCGCAGTGGAACACTAGACACTCAAATGTAATTGTAAGGCCCAACAAAGTTGCTTTTTGCAGGCTATAAAATTGCACAGTCATGCTTTTGAGTGCTTAGACAGTGCGCCGTCGATGCTTCAACCCAGGCTGCGAGCCAATAGCGCGCTGCAGAGATGCTGAGTCAGCGCCAGACACAACACAACACAACACAGCTCGATTACCGGAGCAAACGAATGGGAATGTAAGACAGATAGTACTACACGAGGTGTATTTGTGCGAAATGGAGGAGAAAATAAATGTTTTCTAATAAATGTGGTACTAGAAAGATGTTTGCATTATTACAGTCTCTTTTGGTTCGCTCGCTAGGTGTTCGTGAGGTTAAAGGGTGGTGGTTTGAGTATTGCATTTCTCGCTCAAACCCAGCGGAAGCGAACAGAGTCTTCCCCCGGCCGTCAGCATCTCTCTCCTACCGTCAGCAGCACCTGACAGCACTGTTTTTCCTGCAGACTCACACGCGCAGTCTTCCTTCAGGTCGTCTACACAATCGCAAGCTCCGCCCCTCTGCAGCACACGACTGTCACAATTTGAGTTGAATTACTGAAATAAATGAACTTTTCCACGACATTCTAATTTATTGAGATGCACCTGTACTCACCGAACACAAAGGTGAGGCTCATGTCGTGTGTGTGTGTCAGTCTGAGAAAGATAACATTACAAAACACACATTTGTTTTTCTCTGCAATGTTTCTGTACTAAGCTAATGATATTTTATACCCCCCAAACACTCGTATAAAGTTTCTGCATTTTTAGATTTTCATCAGCATGTTATCGAGCCTGCTTAATAAGCTGTTTTCCTCGTGAGGACCGTTAGCTGCTCAACACTGTGGGTGATTGCATGTTTTACTAGTCTTGTGGGGAAATGTGCTCCCATAATGTAGACAAAACATAATTTTCTCATAATAAATAACGAACTACAGGGTAATAAAAACAGGAGAAGATGTCCCCTTAAGAATAAATTGTAACATATTTACCTAAGATTAGATAGCATGTGCAGGATGATTATGCATTATGCAATGTGTTAAGGGAATAAATGGAAACATTTCCTATTTTAGTCGCCACAAAATATAAAATTCAAAGATGAGACTTTATTATTGACTTTTACAGATTTGTTCATCATTTTTTACAGATATCTTTCTTATATACATGCATGTATAGGCTATATACAGCGGTGGCCAAAATGATTAGAAAACTATTATTTTCACCAGCTAAAAATGGGTTTAAGTCAGTTATTTCTATCTTTTGCTGTAGTGTGTCAGTAGGAAATATTAGTTTACATTTCCAAACATTCATTTTGCCATTACTTGTAATAATTCAGTGAGATATTTGTCTGACAACAGTCAGTGCTGCACACAGAGATCTGATCTGATCATCATCAGTCTGTCTGGAATGACGTGAAGAAACAGAACAAACTGAGACAGACTCAATCCAGAAGAACTGTGGCAAACGTCTCCAAGATGCTTCAAGAAAGCTACCTGCAAAGCTATCTGAAAAACGGGCAAAAGCTGGTTTAAACGCAAATGATGGTCACACCAAATTTTAATTTAATTTAAATAGAAGTTAATTGATAAAGAAAATCTATTTATGACATTATATTTTGACAGTATCCTCATTTTACAGCACTTTAACCTAAACTGTTAACAGTACTGTAGCTTTGCAGGTAGGTCTCTTGAAGCATCTTGGAGACTTTGCCACAATCTGTGCTGAAACGTTCCTCTCAGACTCTTCAGATCAGACTGAAATGATCTGGAGCAGAAGCAGCACAACGTTTGACAGATTTACTCTTATTGTTCTGCTGTTGACAGCCGTTTTTCATCTTTATTTCATTGAGATGTGGACAGGCATGTGTTGATGATTTCACTTGTCTGACACCAGGAAGTTGCATAGGTTCAGAATGAGATATTTTGCAGTGTAGTTTGAATAAAGGCTAAAGAGGAACCTTTACAGTAAAGTTACAGTAGGCCTATGTTCTCATACAGTGAACTCTTATTTCAGGTTGAGGAAAATGTGACTCCTCATGATATGATCATTGTATATTGATCTTTTCACACTCACCTACGCAAACTCAAATCACTACAGCAGCAACCTAATGAACTATACTGTCACTAATAATAAATCACTAAGAGACGAAATCAACAGCTCATGATCTGATAACATTACTGTGGATGTTTCTATGTACCTTTATGATCTTCTATGATCAAATGTCTCTTCAAACAAGCATTTGAGGATAATCTTTTTCTTTGTGTCTGTCCTCTGCGTCTCACTGTCCGTCTGTAGTGTGTATGTATACAGCGCCCCCTATTGGTGTAATAGCATAAATCATAACACCGGATGCTTACTAATGCAGCAGGGTTCACAGCCTTATGAATGTTTCTGAAGCTTAATTTTTCAGTTTAATATCTAATTACTCTAGTGAATGTAAAACTGTGATTAAATCCGTAGAATCAGAAATGATATTGTAATAGTGATAGTTTCTTTCTTTCTTTCTTTTTGAATTTTCATATTTTAATGTGTTTTGAGTAAATGTATATATCTATTTATATTTTTATACTTGCTATATATATACTTGATAAAATATATATTTGATAATTATATTTGATTTCTTCATATTTTGTAGGTATTTTTGTGCTTTCTGGATCTGATCCAGGTCTCTTTTGAAAAAGTTTTTTTTAATGGGACTACATGGTTAAATAAAAATGAGTGCTGCCAAACGATTAATCGCGATTAATCACACCCAAAATAAAAGTTTTTGTTTACATAATATATATGTGTGTAC